TGATACATAAGACTGATAATAGATTGATGGTAGATTAGACAGATGATAGATAAAATAGATAGTAGATAATACAGATATAGATAAGACCAATGATAGAAGAGGCTAGTGGCAGATTGATTAACTAATTGAATTATAACAGAAATAATGAAATATGACTAATGACTGATATGTAACAAGACTGATCGTGTACTGATACAAATAAATAGTATAAGATTGATATGAGCACGATATATTGCACATATAAGATGATGGGTTCACTTGATATAGAAAGAATTATTGTTTATATGAATGCAATTTTTTGCATTTTGTTTCTATTTTTTTCATTACTTTTAGTTGTAAGTATTAGTAACTTACTAAGATTTTTTGTTCATTATATGATTTTGACATGTTTATAGGTAAGGGTTATAAATCGATGGAGTGAGGTTGATTTGAGCGGTAGGCTTAGGTTTTCTTTATGCGTCTATTGGTTTTTTTCTTTTTTGGTCATGATATATTTTAGCGATGGGTTGTTATATGTTGAATATCATGACTATTAAATATGTCTTCTTCTTCTTCTTCTTCTTCTTCTTCTTTTTGACCAATGTGTAAATATTGGATGAATAGCAATGTTTAAGTTTTTCACTGTTTATATTATAAGAAATGAAATTGATAAACTTTGGCTAATGATTAAGAAGAAAAAGATAAAATTCATTCCAATTTGGGTCATGGGGTGTTACACTCAGGCACTCACTCTCTACTTGAGGGGTAATCCTCACCAGACTAAGCTACAAGAAAATGCCCACTCATGCTAACCTCGGCCTAACTTGCCACAGCTATCAAACTCGAAGTTTTCCATCCCGCGACAACACCTCACTTGCCACTCTCTTCTCTAGCGATCAAAGATCTCCCACACAAGTCATTGACAATATCAACAAACTCGCCAACCACTGATCCCCTTTCATCTCAACACTCGCCCACAAACTCACCCAAGTACGCCTCCTTTGTCCATTCAACATTACTAAGCTCACCCAAAGGTAGCCTGTCGAAGCCTTACAACCCCGTGTCCTTCAACTAATTAGAAGGCAAAATGTGTCTAGGGTAGCTTGCAACATTGTGCAGTTATTATGTGTAGCGTTGTGCTCTTTACTTTTTTTCTCTACGTGGCCTTCATAATTTTATAAATAAGATGTGATGATGAATAAATTATAATATATTTTTTATTAATTTTAGTGGATATTCTGTCAGTTTAAGATCTACAACTTTCTTGAGCATACTATAGAGCTTTTCTCTACTAGCTTAATTCTCATCATTCTTACAAGTCAAGCTAGCATGCCCACAAGTTTATCCTGCTAGTAAGGATTAGCTTCTTCTACGACTAAATTTGAATCTAATAATAAATGTGAAATGAGGATACAGAGGAAAATCTTGCTTTCTTCTTTTTTTGGAACTTAACTTTGTGTTAGTAACATTTGGTATTTTGGTGATGAAGTGAGAGCAATAGGGAAAGATGAGGTAGACCTTGAAACTTTTGATGCATAAATAAAGAAAATTACCAGTGAAGAGGAATAATTAAAGAGATAAACCCCAATGTTATTTTAAAGAGTACCAAAATATATAATTAATAGAATCGAATGATCATGTGTCTTCAAGTTATTTAAATTGGCTCTCTAAAGGAGAAGCCAATATGATTTTGCAGACCATGGAAGACAAAGGAAGTGGTGACAAGCGAGAGATTGAAACCTATGGGAAATTATATTTTTCTTTATTTCTCAGGATATTTATATAAACACAACTACAATGATGGGCTAATTTTAGAACAACACATATAGGTTAAAATGGAGATGTTCCTTAGGAATATCAAGCAATATTAGAATATCATGGAGAATTAAGATGTAAATTTTATATAAAAAAAAATGATTAGGCTGATGATTTATATCGCTCAATTTGTTAGGAGATTTAAGGCTTCGTTTGGGAAGGTTTTTTTACTGCTTCTTAAAGCAGCTTTCTGATATAAAAAATTTAATTTTAATGCTAAAAAATTGCTTTAAGAAGCAGTAAAAAAGTCATCCCAAACGAATCCTAAGTCATGAGTAACAAAATAAAAATGGTAAGAATGGCAAAAAAAAGGAATATTAAGATGAATGTTTGATAAAATTAAGGAGAATAAATTGATGAATATTAATATCAAATTTAAATTATCACACAAGCTAATTTATTTATAAAAGGAATCTACATTAATTATTAGTATAATATGTCATTATTATTAATGAAATTCTCATTTATTTATTTTTTTCTTGAATTTTCTCTTCTCTTGCTTATATATGAGCCCATATTTGCTTGTATTCAAAAGTCAATTTGTTTGGTTTGCTTTTTTCTTTTTTATGAACCTTTTATTATTATTATTATTATTTTATTTGTTTGGTTTGCTGAAAAAAGAATATAATATAAAAGTAATACTTTGGAGTTAATTGGATGAGTGTAAAAGGAATACATGAAACTACTTTTTTTTGTTTGTTTAGAAGCAAAATGAATGTAATGTAAAGTGCAAAATGGTGGAGGTAGGTGGCTAACATTGACAACAGTGGTAGCCATCAACGACCGGTGATGGTGGACCATGGTTGGCAATGATGGTGGTGCTGGTAGTGGGCAATGGTGGTGGCCGGTTGTGGTGGCCAACAACTGCAGAGATGGGCTGCGATTGTGGTGATCGATAACTATGCCAGATGGAGGCTGGAGCACGAGGCAACGGTGGCCAGTGGTGGCAGGCAACAGCAGCGGGTGGGCGGTGGTGGCCAGTGGTGGCGGGCGATGGTCGACGGCGACGGTGACGGTGCTAAATGGTGTTGGGTGGTTGTAGCCGATGATCGTGGCCTGAGGCTGATGTGTGGTAGCAACGAGCGATGACAATTGCAATGAATTTTTAGTATATTTGGAACTCACCCATTTATAAGAAATTTCAAATACACAAAAAAAATGAACTAAATGATGAATTCTAAATGTACCAAATTGTATCCTACATTTATTTTACTTCAAACGAAACACCTACACTATCAAAACCCCTGTATTTAGAATACCTTAAACTCTTTTTACTTTAAACCAAACGACCTCTAAGTAAAAATTCCTTTCTGATTCTCTCTCTCTTTGGACATGGTATTAAGAGCCATGGCCAAAAATTCTTCCAATCTTCTCTGAACACCTTCCAATCGATGTTGCACTTCTCAAACATGTTATCATAATTATATTGCTCTCACAATTCCCTCTAATTGCAACCCATCATCAGTGTGATTTATCATCTTCTCCCTTTGTGAAGGAATTATTCCGTGCCGAGTCCGAACGGGAAGTTTCCGTTCGGATTGTGAGTGTACACATCGTGTACAAACAATATTTACACAATTTGAACCAAACTGTGTACAAAAATTATATTCATTGTACACAATGTGTACATTCACAGTTCAGACGGAAACTTCCCGTCCCGACTCTGCACAGAATAATTTCTCCCTTCTGTGAGGAGGGCTATAAGCTGCCAAGCGCCCTTGATAAATAACTCAATATTTGTTCATATTACACTCAGTTCACATTCATTAATTTACATAGTTAAACAAAATTTTAAGAGCTAATCACATAAATGAACAAGATTGAACACAAAGTAGCTTGTTCATTTATGCTCGTGAACTTTCTCGTTTATTGTTTAACAAGTATCTCGTTAAGAATATGAGAACATGCTCATTTAGTGGTGGCTTAGTTTTTTATTTGATAGCTTATTCTATGTTGTTGTATCAAAGTTTAATGATTTATATGCTTTAAAATTTATGTAAATTATTAAATGTATTTGTATGATGAAAATATCAAATAAATAACTAGATATATAGAGTTAAATGATTTATTATTATTATTATTTTAACTTCATCAAACAAATTTTAAAAAAAAAAACACCTAATGAATAAAGTCAATTTTATTAAAAACTATAAATACAATGATGTATAGTAATTAGGCTATATATTTAAATTATTAGCATCGAATATATAACTAGTTAGGCTTGATTAAAGTCAATTTTGGTTAGAACTTGATAAAAAAATTTTGTTGGAGAAGGCATAGACTTTCGAGCAGACCTTGTCAGAGAACTCATCGACTAGAGAAGCAAAGATAGAACAAGAAGAGGAGCTGCTCCTAAAGCTTAAAGATGTTCTAAACTCTAGTATTTTTGTCATAAAAACAAGTTATTTGTTTATACTCATTGTGATGCTACCTTTATGTGTTCATTAAAGCGCTTGTTCAATTAATGGCTCATTTTCTAAGCTCATAAGCTTGGCTCAATAAAATTCATTTATTTTCCAAATGAGCTGCTCAATTAAAGCTCGATAATCACAATATAAACATCTGTAAATTTAAATGAAATAAGATTGAACATTGACACAAAACTTGAATCAAGCTCAAACCAAGTTCGAACATGATTTTTGTAAATGAGCTCCTCAAGCAACCTCTGCTAACCTCGATTCAGTTCATTTATAGCCCTAACCCTAATCCCTCTGACACGAATTGGTTGTGTTACTAATGCGACACTCACAATTTTTTAGTAACAAACTTCAACAACTCCAACTCTAATCATTAATGTTTTTAAACTCAAATTAGCATTTTCTATATCACCTTGAGTTTGCGGGGTAGTGTTATTATATCAAAACTCTCATTTGCACTAACTTATTATTATAGAAACATGCATTATTTATTGTTATAATATTTTTTTCATTTTTGAAGATATTATCCTTTATTATATTTTTCCTCATTATACTCTTCTATTGCCTAGATATGAGAAAATATATGCTTGTAAGGAACATGAATATGCTTGATCTTATATTTGAGCAGAATAATATTAAAGATTAGCTATGCTGAGAATTATTATTTTTTAACATGATGGATACTTGAATGTACATACATATAATTAAGAATGGTTTCACCATACATGCAAATTGCAAGTGCTATGAAACAGTGAACATAACAATTCCAATTAATAAATGGGAACTAACCTCCATGCGATATCCAGCTCTTGATGCACACATTGCATGATAATAGGTTGAACACTTACAACATTGTGCACATGAACCATGCTTTTGCTTACATATTACACATATCTGGAGCCAAAGGAAAAAAAACCAGTAAGCAGGTCTTCTTTTTGCTAATATGAGACAAATCATGAGCAAACTCCATTATTGACAACTACTACAGGATTAGCATTAATGGTAACAGCTATGATATCTTTGTTTTTGAACTTAACCTTCATAAAAGACTGTGGTGGTATATTCAATATTCCCACAGCAGGCTCCATTGTTATGTCGTTAGCAAAAGAAACAGTGGGCTGAAACCAGGCACATGTAACATGAACCCACAAACAATCAACATCAGTTGGCTTCAAAGCCCCACCTGTGAAAGAGAGAAAGGTGAAAGAGAGAAATAGAGAAAGAGAGATCTACATATTTCTGTGGTGTCGACATGGGCGGATCCCCTCATGTGCGAGCCCTCAAAAAAAAATTGTATAAGTTGGATAATTTTGAAATTCTGCCCCCCTCAAAAATAATTTTGTCCTAATATGACCCAATTTGCATTATTTGCCCATACATCTGAAGTTCCAAACTTTTCCTCTTTGCAAATAAATGATAAAAATTTACTCTTATAAATTTGATAGCATTATGTTGGTTAATTTTTTTTAAAAAATCTTATTTTATTATTATTACTATGTGATGTTATTATTATTATTATTATTATTATTATTATTATTATTATTATTATTATTATTATTTATTATTATTATTATTATTATTATTATTATTATTATTATTATCGTCGTCTAATTAATGAAACTTTTGCCCACCCTAAAAAAAGAATCTAAATCCGCCCCTAGGTGTCAACAAACATAAACACGGATCATTCATATGAGAATCATGTCCCGCAAATGATGGAAGGAAAAAATGAACTTTAAACTTAAATTAGTTCAACCGGAAGAATATGATCATTTCATGTATCTGACATACCTTTTACTGGGCAAAGGCAGCATTCCTTGTTTTGTTGAGGTGTTGCACATGCTGTGCAAACCCAGGATGTGAAATCTCGTTCACCTCTCACCCCATAGCATTCCTGGTGGACAGCTACCTGACATCTGTGATTTTTTTTAATAAATATACTTATTTTTAACTGCATTGTATGTTTCTGTTTTCATTCTGGAAGAACTCTGTGCGGAAATATGAGAAAGGCCAAAATACCTGATGCAAATGATGATTTTATTATAATCCCAGTCCTCAATCCATCTGCAAATTGCACACCTTTCAGTTGTCCATTTAGCATAGACTGGTTCATAAGCCTCTGCTAAGATGACAACAAAATGCAACTAAGTATGATTCAGTCTTCGAGTACTTGATGCCCGTATAAATGAAATGGCAATGAAATCAACGAGAGAGTACCTTGCAACAAAGTAACTAGTTTTTGTTTTCTCTCTTTAAGAGACGGTTGTTTAGCGTGATTGGCTGGTATTGTATTGTTAAGGTGATGTCCAATCTGCAAGGTAATAAAATGGTGGTGAATCTGTATAGCACCATCAAAAAACTAAAGTTAACGATACTTCTAAAAGAAACAACTTGAACTCTGATGAGCAGAAAATGAGCCGAAAGCTAGTAACTTCAACATCAAGGCATGCAGGAGAAGTAAACTATAGGTAAAGCTGGTGATCCATGAACCACATTAAGACTTCGTTTGAGACGGCTTTCTTACTACTTCTTAAAGTAACTTTTTAGTACAAATTTTTTAATTTTTTAACTAAAAAGCAGCTTTAAGAAACAATAAAAAAACTGTCCCAAACAGAGCCTAAGTTAAACAAACACGATATTTTTGTTTCATCTAAAAGGTATAGCTATATAATTTAACGAACAAAGGAAATTTCATTTGGTGAAAGATTACAATCATAAATTATAAAATAATAATGATTCAAGTGTTTGTCGTTATAACAAACCCATTCCCCGAGTGGCCTCATGGTACTCTTGATTTTGACGCTGATCTTCCATTTTTTACTTCTACAACCTGTATGACGCTCCCATTCACTAAGTTTGGCTTTTTTCCCGTTGCAAGTGTGGCAATGACATATCACCCTGCCATAGGCATAAACCATATGAGCTTAGCAATAACTTTATTAACATGTGATGAACACACTGACAACTTTTCTCCTTCGGAAAAGATTTCAGAGAAGATGTGAACATAAACGAAATCTAACAATTTAAGAGAATCCACTAGACAAAGTGTCTCGGATGATAAACCAGCAAAAAACAAATATTTTCTCCAACTCTAGAATAAGCGATAGTCATTGAAACCAATTAAACTAATTTCCATCGTCATTGATGCTCTTTATCAATGTAACGTTGGAGACAAAATGCAAATTTTGAAAAGGGTAGTGCTATTGAATCAGGTCCTCTGTAAATATTATGGTATTTTCACATCTATAGTAATTGATTACTACTATTTCCCAGGAAAAAAAGGGTATTTAGTTTGATATGACAACCATCTCGAATCAGGCTCAACCGACAAATAGTAAATTAGTTCCAATTAAAACATCGAGTAGAAATTAGATGTTTCTCAACAGTTCCGATATTTAAAATAAAGTGCTTACACATGTTGCTCAGGTAAGTATGTCCCCTCCACACCACAACAGCAAACAAGAATCTTCTGGGGTGCAGAGACTTGCAAATTTCTGTCATAGCATCCCCGTAAACATGAAAAGCATAATAAGTAGGCAATTCCCATAGAAGCTCAACAGGTCCAGATTTCAAATGCATACCTAACTTGTTCTTTTTTCTTCTCTGTATCTGGTAAATCAAACTTATTCTGCAACTCGCACTCAAGAGATGAATAATCACCATCTTCCAGACTCTATTAGTATTGAAAACAAGGTTCAATCAGTGGAATATACTTAATAGTCAAGTAACAAGCATACATTGGGAATACAAGTATAACAAAATAACTTTACACACTAAACTGATCCAACGTAAATACAGACCTGCCTGGTGTGGGCTTTTTTCAAAAGCTGTAGAACAAGAAAACAAACCAATTAGCGGTTTAGTACAGAGAATGGTATAGCTCGGAGCAGTCAAACAACTTTGTTAAGCGACTGTTATTTAGTTCTGACTCACCGAGCCTTCTAAATCACCCTTCACTTTCTTTATGCTTGCAATTGAAAGGCAAGCCACATAATTGTCACAATGAAGGCCTGGATTGTTCACGTCCTACAGAAAAAATAAGCTTAGAAAAATTAGCCTATGAATTTTGAAAGAGTCTTGAACTTGAAAGACATATAATTTCCCCATGAATATCATAGAATAGTTAATCTCAACAAAAATATAACAAATAAACTTTTGCTTGTCAGACATTAACCAAAGGTTGCATTTGAGGGCTTGAAAGGAAGAATCGAGAAGCATGTGCATAGGTCGACAAGTCCTTGCAATAAAATTTTTATAATGCAAACAGCGCAGTAATCAATAACAGTATCTCTACATATACTTAGCTACCTCATTCCGTTAAAGGTTCTTTTGATTTCTGCCAAGGCACAAGCAAAGGATCTTCTTTGCGATTTGCATGATACATTAAGGGCATTTCCAACCAAAAATCTCATTGTTTCACTTCAAAATGTCGTGAAACTAAAAAAAGTCATGATTCATCTCCAATCGAACTCCATTTTTCCCCTTTTGCAAAGGTAACGGTCTTTCTCTTCTTTCGCGCGTTTTTTTGGCAAGTTCGGTAGAGACTGAAAAATAGTGAAGATGAACAGTGCAACACCAATACTGGCTTCCCACTGTTCACCCGCAACCAAATAGCATAAGTTTTACCGTTCGGCTGGAGCTTGCGAGCGATGCCATTGAAGCGTTTGGAGTTCTGTTGGAGATGCCTTAAACCGTCTAACAGTCAACTACTCAGCTTACATTCTATAGACATTTGAGAGGACGGAGCGCTTTCGCAATCTTATCTATGTGCATTAAGAACATTTCTGAAGTTCATGGAAACTATTCTCTGACGTCATAATTTTTTTTTGGGCGATGCAGATGACATTAGCAGAACTTGGATTCCTACTTCACCATAACTTTTTTTTTGGGACATTTAGGCCATGTAAGGCAAACTCACACACACAACGCATACACAAAGACTCGAACCCAAGACCTCTTAGTTGGAAGCCTAAGCTCTCAACCAACAAGACAAGGTGAGATTCGTACTTCACCATAACTAGCTAACCATCTTTTAATGAAAATCACCTCAATCTTAAAAGAATGATGTGATCAAAATTACTAGATTCTCGTTCATATTTGCATAATTAGTCAAGGAGGAGGAATTAAGCTCGAAGAAATCAAAGACGCGATTTTTATTTTGAAATGAATGCATACAATCCACCTGTTGATTGAGGAAGGTCTTTTCGAGAATATTGAGTGCCAGAAGAAAGCGAAGAGTTTACCCAAAAAATAAAAAAAGGAAGCGAAGATGGAGCTGCCCAATCTGAGCACTGACAACAGCCTTATTTATTAAGATCAGGAGATAAAATACTATCTTACAAGTCAAGTCCACAATCATTATGGTCCATAATTACGCATATCTATCAAACAAGCATAGTTGATATTTCTGCAGTAGCAACGGCTTTTATAGGTGGAATAATGCAGTCTGAAATTGGAACGAAACCTCGCCTATGGGAAAAATGACCTCACAGTGGTCGAGGAACAGGAACAATAAATATATCATCTAAAAAACCTTAGTTGCAATATTGACTTCCGGTGTATAGTTGGATCTGCTTGGTCAGAAAGTAAAATCTGTTGAGGGGAACAGGAGAAAGCATGACGAACAATTTCTTTATACTTAAGGGAAAAATCTGCTTTTGCCACTTTGGGCTGTGCTTCAACTCACGCATGTCCGAAGGGTTAGTGAAAATAGAGAGAGAGAGAGAGAGCAAAATCCACCTTAAAGATTGCGATTAAATTCGCTCATAGCCAAAATAAAATATAATGAATTAACATGCGTGCAAAGGTTCGACAATAGGAGCAATCAATAATTATCCTTCCCTTGATGGCCTTTCCTGCGGGTTTACGCAACAGGGTAGGGTGAATATGTTGTTATTTGTCTCAATATAGATGACATTTCATTTTGTTTGTGACGGTTTTTTGTTTTCTCTTAAAATAATTTTTTATTATAAAAATAAATTTTTTATTAAAAAAATAATTTTAAGAAACAATAAAGAATCATTTCAAAGAAAATCAAAAGAAATCTGCATTTTTCAAGTCACCATCATAAGCATTGTTTTAACTTATTATCTATCTTATTCTTCTGTTTCCATCTTTTGAGAATTTTTCAGCATTATCATTTTATATGATGCAGCTCTTGTACTCCAAACTCAACTTTTTTTTGGAGTTGTTCTCATATTTTGATCTTTTAATTATGCTTTTTATATAATTAAAATGGGCTTTGCCCTCGTTTCATCAAAACAAATGAATTGCTTACTATATATACATATATATATTTATGACGCTCAAGAATTTTGAAACTAATCCATAACCTACTTTTTTCCTTCGTCCGGATAAAAGAGAATTTAATGACCTAAACCTAATGTCAGCGGACGCATTGCCAGTTATAAGCCCTCAAAAGCAAATTTTGTTAGGGTGTGGATCAAAAAGATTAAAAATTGGACTCCATATAATAATGATTTATCCTATTCATTAATAATATTTTTCTCATGTTAGAATACTCATGTCAGCTATCATCTCACTATAAAGTTTTTTCAATATCATTAAATATCATGTACCAAGAGCTCTATTAGATTATGTGGTGTCACCTATACAACAACAATAACAACAAAAACATCAAGCCTTTGTCCCACTTCGTGGGGTCGGCTACATGAATCCTTTTTTCTCCATTGTCCTGTTAAAAGCCAAAAGAAATATCATTTCTAATATTTACTAACCAAGTCTTTTTTGATCTACCTCTATCTTTCTTAACATAAGTCAAATCTAAATTCTCGTTTTCATTAGAAGGCCGCCGTTTTATGTGACCAAACCATCTAAGACGACTCTCTTATCTTCCACTGGAGCTACTTCAACCTTTTCACATATATGCTCGTTTCATATCCTATCTTTAAGGGTAAAGCCACTCATCCACCTAAGCATCCTCATCGGAAGGCTGTCATTTTATGTGGTGTCACCAATGCTAGACCAATTAGTAGACTCATTTTTAACTTTAGAATTTTAAATTTATAAATAAATAACAATCACTTAATAATTAATTTTTTTATATCAACATATTTTTCCATAGAGATTAAACTCAATATTCTACAAATCTATGTGCTCCACAAATTCATAAGATCATGTTTATATACAAATAATCATCGATGTGATAGATTCATCTCTGTCTTTTAAAATTGTATTTGAGAATATTATGCTCGCAAAAAAAATTATGCAAAATAGTCAATTTGATAGGGTTGATGATAAAACAGTAGTGGATGATTCTCTTTCAAATTTGATATGTCCAATAATATAAAAGTGGGTTCAAATTAAGATGAATTATTTTGTGGGGACACCGGACGGTAAGCACCGTCTAGTTTGTCTCTGTGAACAGTAAAAGCATTGTGCTTTTACTGTTCATGCTGCGCTTTTGTGAACACAAAATCGAACTGTTCTTCCCGTCCGATGTCCGCATAGAACAATCTCTTCCAAATTAAACATATAAGAGTTGAACTATGTTATCCATAGAACGAACTTTGAGGTAACATGATTAATCTTGTCCAAATCACGAAAATTTGAGCATGGAGTTAATTTTCCAGACCTGTAAGCATTCCTGATCATGGTTGGAGCCTGTCGCTTCTTGAAACTCACCATAGAAAGGATCACGAGGATATGTGTGCAGCCTGGACATGTCCATCCCATCCACCTCCATTCCCATAAAACCATGCTCAGCCAGGAAAGCCTCCTCTATTGCCAACCTTAACTCAGAGGGCTTACTGTTATATAATTCTGTCTGCCCCTGGAACCTGCAAGCCAACAATTTAATCACCATTAAAACAATATAAAAATGATTTAAACTTATCAGTGTAAGGTACAGTTAGCTATGTTCTACCTGTCTAGATTGTCTATAAATGGAAAAACCATCTCTTGCTTCACCAAAGCACACTTGCGCTGCATAATTTAATCACATTACAAACAAACCATCATGAAGCAACCAAGAAGAGAATTGAAGAGAAAATAATGATAAAAAAGACCTCAGAACAGGCATACCATGACTTCTCCACTTCCAGAATACCCAAAGAGCATCACACAAATGGATCCAACGTTAAGGGATTTAGAAACTGGCTCGGGAGCTTGTGGCGTTAGGTTTACGACGATAGCTGGCCAAGCAGGATATGTGTTCCCTGGCTTAGCCCAGACCACATCCCCCACAGCAAACTTCATGGAAGAGTTTAGATATTCTCTCTTTGACATTTTAGCAGCCGATATATTCCCTAAATTTCTCACCGATTCATCTAGATTCGGCAACACCGGGCAAACCATCACCTCTTCTCCCTCCGACGACTCATGAAGAAACGTCAAAGTGCTCGGTGAAAGAGATTTCTTCATTGATTTTATATTCCAGCACGCTCTGTAACAATCCTGTTTTCCTAATAATTCGAAAGAATTCTTCGACTCAGTTTCAATCACATTAACTTCTCCGAAATCGGAATCAATAACCCCAGACTCGAACTTCTCCTTCCTCCAGGTTTCAATGGTGAACGAATCACCGAACCGCGAAGGAAGCACCTGCGCACGTCCCCGCTTTGTTCTCACAGCCAGCGACCGCCGCCGCCGCCGCGGCTGGCCCCAGCTGGCTATCGACCCGGATACGACCTCGCCGGAGCTCGTAGACGGCCCCAAGTCATTACATGCGGCGTACGGAATCCCGGCGAAACTGCCCAAATCCCCAAGCATCTCCAATAAGAAGTAATCCCCCTTGCTGCTCTTCCACCGTTTCGCGCTACGCCCAACGCCAACCACCCCGCCTCCTTCGTCCGAATCCGCCCTGCAACGCTTGAGGCTCGGCATTTGCGCCCTGTGCGAACGCTTTATGATCATCTCCGCAAATACCGATGTAAATTCATAACCCTAGACTCCGGCGTGCATTGGAGGCGCAACCGACACAAACAGAGGATTCGATTCAAAATATCCCAATCGGCAATCCCACACTTGAATCGACTAGTTTGCAGAGATGCAATAGGAATGAGAACCAGAAGAAGAATACCCTAATTCAGGGAGAAAAAACGACGGATCTCCGGCTTCACCCAGACCTCCAAAACCAGCGCGGTATGAAATATTTCCTATTTCATCACGTAATAAATAAACAAAGAAGAAAAAGTCCGTCTTTTTAAAGAAGAAATCAGAATTTCAATATCTCAGAGACGAGAGGACTGTTATTTGTTATAGAGTATATACATATATATATTATCACATTTATTTATAAAATTAATGAAATTGTCGCGAAATTTTCGTGTTCGCCGGAGAGAGAGGGACGAATCCGATGGAGTGAGCGCTCTGCGCAACGGCTAAGTTCTTCGTTATATAGAGATGGCCTCGTGACGCCGTCCTCATCTCTTATGTTTCAGACTTTCAGTAGTATATTGTGTTCTGTGGGGATGGTTGTATAAAATATAAATTAATAAATTTTTAAGCTTTTTAATAATTTTATTTATGTATGACATTTCCTCTTCATTTATTATAGAGTAAGGGCCAATCCGGATAATTTTATCATTATTTTATTTTTTAAGTCTTTCAAGCAATAATAAAAGTTTGTTTGTCTTCTTTTTTTTTTTTTTTTTTTGATAGTTTTAGACTATATTTCATAAATTTTTATGATGAGAAGCTATTTTTTATAATAATAATAAATAAGCTGTTTTAGAACTTATTTTATAGAAAGCTTAGGTTGTTTCAAACAAATACTAACTTATGGGATGTATAAAGCTGCTTTAAGAAGCTGTAAGAAAAAAAAAATATGTATTTGATGAGATGTATAAGCATATAATACCTCCGAAGCTACTAATAATGGAGACTTTGGACTTTGAAGCTTGTCGATAATGGATTACTAGAGATAGTTATATTGAAGTTAAATCAAAGTCTATGGTGTAGAGAGAGAGAGAGAAAAGATCAAGGGCAAAAATATGTAGTGGTGAGGAGAGGGGCAAAAATGTGTAGTGGTAAAGGAGGGCAATCCCCCCCCCACCATACGGGAAAAAAAAAAAAAAAAACTTAGTATATTAAGTGTTATTTGTAATATGTCCCTCCTAATTTTTTTTGGCCCCAGACGATTTTTTTTTCATGCAATTTGCCCATTCAAAAATCGGAAAGCCTCTTAGCCTCCCGTTATTTTCATCCAATTTTGTTGAAATTTTCTAACACTAACAAACAAATTTGTGAAAAACTATTGTGTAAAATAAATTATTCTAACACCCTTATGTGTATTTTTTATTTTTTTTATAAGTTTGCCGCTTGCCCTCCCCGAAAACTAATTTGATTCCGCCCATGGACAAGATTAAAAAAAAGTCAAATTTAAAACTATTAGAGAACTACTTAAAAATTTTATTTGATTGCTAGAAGTGTAAGACTTATGCAAATGATTGAATGTGTCAAGCTCGTCCTTTTTGATTGGATTGCTAAGTGAATAAACTTGTTGCTATAGGCAAGTAACTTGGCTGAGTTGTGCGAGGAGCCTTGGCGACTTCGATGAATCTCAAGGTTGAATATGATCAAATAGTAAACAAGCTTCTAATGACTTCGGCTATTTTTAAAAATCACAAGAAAAGCGAAGGTCCAATGAACATTTATGAATGAAATAATTCTATTATTATGTGAGTATTGATTAAAAAGATTTGCTTGCCTACACACAGGGGCGGAACCAGCTTCAATTTTGAGGGGGGCAAATACAACACAAAAATAATTAAATATTAAAAAAATATTATTATATATTACAACAAGTTTTTTTAAAAAAAATTAAGCAAGAAAAATAAAGAAAAAAAAAATTAATTAAATAGTCATGAAAAGCATGAAATAGAATATTAGAACTAAATGTGAAGAAATATATAGATATTTTAGAGCAATATAGGTTAAAAGAGTTTTTTAGGGGGGGCAAAAAAAAATTTTAGGAGGGGCAAAAAAAATTTTTCTCTCTTATAATATTTTTTTTTTACTCTCATAAAAAAAAAATTTTTTTTGAGGAGGGGCAATTGCCCCCCCTAACCTTGTAGTGGTTCCGCCCATGCCTACACATCAATTACTAGTAGAAAATATCACGAAGTCGTTCAGGAATGAGAGGCATGTGGATAGATTGACATTGGTGGTTGAGTGACGATAGTCTGACTGCGAAGTACAGACGGCGATGATCTGTCAATTGAAGTCGGAAAGCTTCATCCAGCAATGATGGTCGGGTGTCGATGGTCCAATGGTGGAGGTCAGATGGCAATGGTGCTAGGGAGAAGTTATGGGATTCGCCAAGCCTCTATGTTTCTTGAACTTAAAAGCTAATGGCCCTCTTCTTGTAGAGAGTTTAGATCTCTATTTAACAATTTTTAAAGCAGTATATTCTGTAATTATAGTCAAGAATATTCAATTGAATAACATATATTGACTCCATTGATCATATATCGTTATTTTAGATTTTATGAGCCTTAATGATGATATAATTAAGTGATCTTAAGCTTTTTAGAATTGTCTCATCAAACTACTTGATTTGAAGCTTTTTAGAATTGTCTCATCAAACTACTTGATTTGACTATAAGCATTAGGGGTGTCAATATTTGACCCGACTGGAAAAATTTAGGATTCGGGTTAACCTATTTTGTAAACGGGTCGATTTAGATTCCATTTTATAATCCGTATCCGATTTCACGTCGGGTTCGAGTCAACCTGAAAACCCGAAATCAACTTGAATCTACCTCGGATCACACCCTCGCGCCACAGTGGTCCCAAACTCCCACACCCACACCCATAGCACCAGCTCTCACCCGCAGTGCTTCAGCAATAATGCCCGCCCCCGCGCCTACTCCCATGCTCGATGCCGCACCTACACCAATGCCCGTCAGCGCTCACCCGCACCCACGCTTGCCCGCACGGGTTCTCACCCCCTTCACCTGCAAGCGCTCGCGCCTACACCCACACACACATCACTACTTTGTTGGTCGTTGTGTAGGGTCGACCCAGATTAAACCCGGGTCAAGTTCAAGTGCTGGAATGTGAACCCATTTTGCAAATTAGGTCAGGGGGTTGAATGTGGCTCAATTTCGATTTAGACATGAACTCGACCCAAAATTTTTTTTGACACCCCTAATAAGCATATAAGATTTGAAGATCATTTGGTATCACAATTAATGTTTCAAAAAATTATAATTAGTGATCTAGGCTCGTTCAAACTCAAGTGATATCACTTTTATTTTTGATGAGTTAGTCTTGATTAGCTTGACTCTAAATTTATTGAGATTCAAGGCATATGATCTTAAATTTAATTTCAGTCGCATCAAAATTCATGCACAGTTAAGTCAGTTTTTAATAACTTATTGACTACAAAATTAGAACTTGGTCAGTCCTGTAAAGAAGTTGTTGAGTCCGACGTTCCAATAAATCTTGTGAAGACCAGGTCGATTCGGATTTGGTAATTGAAAGAGTGGAAGCCAAGAAGGATCAGCCCACCATCAAGAACAAAGGCGTGCAATATGGTGTTTCTCTAACTAAGTCTGACAATGTTCTTATCATATTTATAATTAGCAAGCTCGTAGGTAAAATGGAGTGGGGCTCACAGTGAAATCAACTTCAATGGCCACAATTTGTTATTCTTCAATAAATTTCTCTTGGGTTAATTACTTTCATGGATGAGCCTATGTATAGCAGGAATTTTTATTAGGTCCAGACACCTGACGTAGCTTTACATCCGGACGCCAATAAAATGCCGCCACCTGCTCTTACTTTTACTGCGCGGCCCGACGACCCGACCCGGACCGGAACCCGATATTGCTATGTATCAGCTGATTTGTACAGACCAGGGTATTGCTAGATTTTGCTCGGTATTGCTCGGTAACGAGAAATACCATTCTGTCAAGACCAATACCTAGCAATATCGAGCAATACCAAGCAATGCCCCAATTTTTCTAGGTATTGCTCGGTATTACTCGGTATTGGTCTTGACAGAGCGATGTTTCTCATTATTTTCAAGCAATACCTAGCAATACCGAGCAATACCTAGCAATACACGAACATAGCAATACCGGGTTTCTGTTCCGGGTCGGGTCGTCGGGCCGCGTGATAAAGAGTAAGAGCACGTGGCGACATTTTATTGGCGTCCGAATGTAGAGCTACGTCAGGTGTCCGGATCTAATAAAAATTCATATAGCGGACTCCCAAATCCCATAATTTTCTATTCGTTCACCAAAATCCTCTAGTTCTTGATTTCACTTTTGCAGGAGATTCCAGAAGAAAATTAAGCTATTGTGGGGATAGAAAATTTAGATACTTCCATAGTAGTTACTAATTAGCAAGGGAGACTTGGTACTTGAGATTACTGAACAATATGATAAAATAGACTTGGTTGTGGAATCTACTAAAGATGTATCTACTAGTGAGAAGAAAAAAACCCAAAACTTCTTTAGGCCATAGCTTCGAGAAATTATTCTGAGCAATCACCCGACGTTGTCCGAAGGCAAATCAGGACACGTCATGACACTTTTTAGCTGTGAACCATTGTTATGTACCAGACGACGTGACACATTTTAATTTACCTCCAAATTATCAGATGACCGCACAGAATAATTTCTCAATAGCTTGAGGTCCATAGCTTCTTATTTGTGCAGCTTTCTAACTGATTTTAAAATAACTTTTTAATTACAAAAAATTCTTAAATTATAAATCTTTATATTAAAAAGTTATTTAGAAAATAATAAGGAAATTATCCCAAACAGAACATTAATCTCAAGACATAATGAAATTTCTTTATTTATCTAGAAATATAAAAGATTTGGTGACTAAATTTTATTCTTTGAACTCTTCCATCAACATCATACAAGATCATGATGGTCTGGATAAAATCTACTTTCCAGATCAAACCGCTATAATTAGAGCTTTTGTCAAGGCTTAAGAAAACTGATCTAATCTTTTGTTCACATTATTCGCACAATTCCATCTACAGAGACTAATCACCTAAAACTTAGCCATTTATCAAGGATTGAAACAAGAGAAGTTATAATATTTATTCTATTAATTACATCTAACTATTTTTTATATTTTATTCTAACTATTTTTTAAATTTTATTCTTTACTAATTAATTTACAATAAATATCTTCATTATTTTTTTAAATTTACCTGTCCATTATAATCACATAATTTCATATCATTTAAATATAACAAAAAAAATCACAAGTCCATTTTTTAAATTCATCATAAAGAAAACAAATTCTGATCTATTTTTTTTCATCTGCAAGAACTTTTTCATTTTGACATCTTATGCAAGGAAAGGGACAAGATGCTTCTGCACAAAGGAATTGCAGTGGCAAATTTCCTGGAAATGGAATTAAAGAGCAAAGCTAAGGATATCAATCCAATAGAAAACACAATCGACAGTTCATTACCAAATTGTGAACACGAACGATATCTTAAAACAAACCAGCTGTATTATATAACTAATGGTGAGAAAACTGGGCGTCTGGAAAGAGAGCAGCCAACCCATATCACTGAGAAGTCTCAGTATCATCACCTTCCTCTTCGCCGCCACTTTCCACTTCGTTGGCGCTTTCCACTTCTTCGTCGCTTTCCACTTCATCACCAGACGAGGAATTGTCTGCTTCCGCTATCCCATGGCTTAGCTGAGCCATGGCTATAGCTTCCCCAGGCGGCGGATGATCAAATCGGCATGCCGCACCATACTTGCAAGTGCCTGTCTTCATATAGAAGGGGCATGCAACCGAACCCTGCAAGAAACCAACATATCAATTTTATTCCAAAGCAAATAAACGGAGCATCACTTTCTCTCTTCCATGGCCTCATTAAGGGGTGGAATCAGACATAATTTTCAAAAGGAACTGATAAACAACTGTTGTCATGTATGACGGGGGTCCAAGGGGGTAGCACCCCATTCGACCTGCCCGGTCAGGTTATGGGGTCAAGGGGTAATGCCTAAAAACTCTTGTAATAAATACTAAAAAATAAAATGGAGGACAAATTACCTAAATAATAGTACAATGAAAAAAAAAATATGGGAGGGGGCAATTGCCCCCTTGGGCTCAGAGGGGTTCCGCTCATGACATCATTCACTACCATCACTTTCTCTCTCTTCCATGGTTGTTGCGAACATACACCATGCAGCACTTTTATAAAAATGATGAATGCAAATCCATGTGACCATGTCCAAGTTTCATAATATTCAAATTTTAAACTAAGGCAAAGCTTACAACTTCAATTGGAGAAAAACGGAATACATAATGAAAGAAAAAGCATTATGCAATATGTTATTTGTAGGAGAAATTCCATATGTATTTACATTTACTAATAGCTTCCCACACCCCTGCTGTTGTGTTAGGGCCTATTATTACCAAATTAGATTCTCTGCACATTGTCGCCACAAGGAATTTTCTCATAATTATGTTTTGCAATTCTCTTTCCATCGTTGAAAGTCTTGTAATTGATTATATAAAAACTGTCATAATTTGAAGGTTATTATTTAGGATTGAAAATGAAATTCTGGGTTCAAATAGAATACAGGTCATAGGACGCTTTGTGCTTCAGTGCTATATATTTGAAGCTTAATATATGAAAATATTTTCATGTAACAGATCTGTTTATGCTAAGCATCCATAACAAATAAATGCATTTCTCAAGATCCAAGATGTCCCATTATCAACTTTGAGACTAAGCATTGCCATGGGGGCACCAGCCCCCACTGATGTTGGAATAAACAATAATTAATAATAATTATGATATTAAGTACATACTAATTAAGCTTTCTTTTTTTTTTCTTTTTCCATACTAATATGCTATATTCCTTCCTTCGCATTTCCCTATTACGTAGGCGCAGGTCGCTACGACGCGTGAAACTCACCTGCTCAGAGAAGTCCGAACCCCAGGATAATTCATTAAGTTATTATAAGGATTTCACTTGTAATTTCGTTTGTCATAAATTTTCATTATACGATTGGGTGCCATTATTTAGGCTTTCATCAAGAGACTTAAAAATATATAAAGAAAGCCGGAGACTGAATTTCTCTTGTAAAAGCTTCATAATTGTCATCATGATAAAAACAAGAAGTAGACATCAATTAGGTAGAACTGTAATAAAAATTGCTGTATTTTTTTGTGCATTTGTTATCTTCTGTTTATTTACTCCCGTTGATTTGAATTTAATACTTAATAATCCAGAAAAGCCATTATTTAGGCTGCAAAAGCATGAAATTCATTAACTCATATGTTAAAATTTAAAAATGATGGATTAACTATTTGCTTAACCTAAAACTTCAAGAATCAGTCATGAATCCTACAAACAACATTCACTCATCTCAAGCTTTCATATATCTTTATCTCCTACGCTAGTTGTGAAGTTCAAAGTACTACTAGCTACCAAGCTTGCAATGCAAAGAAAAAAATGATGAAATGTTTACCTCTCTTCTAGGAAGCCCAGCAAGGGTAAGCTTGACACTTTCTTGAGTTGGCTTTGCACTAGCTACAGTTGATGCTGATCTATCTAAGGGATGATGGAACTTACATCTCTCTCCAAACTTGCAATGGCCAGTCCTCATGTAATACTGCACAAAGATAAAGTCATGATGCAGCACAGAAGATGCATCTTTGATATCAAGTTGCATTAGATTAAATATATAAAAAGTTAATCATTAAGGAACAGAAGTAAATAGGACTATAAAATTGAAGTCTGTTTGCCATTGTACGCATTATGATTACAGTAGAGGTGGTCAATGAAATGAGTTCTTTAAGTAAAGACTTCGTATCAAATCTTAATACAATACTAGTGAAAATGAGATCAGGGAAAAATAATATTAATTAGTAATACTGATGAATACTAATAATAACCATAAATATGTCAGCTAATCACGATGAAAAGTAAACATAGAGAAAAGCCTCTATTTAATACTAAACTTCCTACTAATGTTTGAAAAGATCAAATGTTTTGAAATCAGGCTACAAGAATCGCAACAATCTAAAACCTCATTGTAAAAAAAAAAGATTTTTTTTTTTCAAAACCATTATCATCCTAAAATCCAAATTTGGTTTGTTCACTTCTTGCTTGGTAAGACAAAAAGTATAAATACGTAATATATAAATTTTACAAAAAGAACACTAAAAATAGAAAAGCATTCATCATCACTATTGCTGTTCATAAAGAACATACATCACATTCAGCTTCACCAGGCTTTTGAGGATATACAGTAACTCCGAGCTGCATAATGAAATGGAACTGTTAGTCATCCTGAACGAAAAATTTAGTCAAAACCTCAGATGGTTAGCAACATATCAAGGCTTCGTTTGGAACAGCTTTCTTACTGCTTCTTAAAACAATTTTTTTAGTATAAAATTTTTAAATTTTTACTCAAAAGCTGCTTTAAGAAGCAGTAAAAAAGTCATCCCAAATAAAACCTAAATCTATTAGAATTGGCATCATAATTAAGATAGCATAGTCGATGGGGGTGTCATGAAAGCTACCTGAGCAAAACGAGGGTCTATACTTGGGACAAAGCTAGCAGCTGGATTTATGACTCCAATAGGTAAACTAGCAATGGCTGGAGTTATAAATGCATTGCTTAAATTAGCAGTTTGTGTAGGATTGATAACTGCAGAAATTTTCAAACCAAAAAATCATCAAACTGCAGAAAAAATGAAGTAGAATCCCCAGAATATAAAGTACAGTAAGAAACATACAGATCCTATCTGGGTGACTATATCGACAAGTAGCACCATATTTGCAGCTGTGCAAAGAGGAAAAAGAAGACGGTCAATGATTTTATGGTGCCAAAGATTTTGCTTTGCTAAGGAAAAATCAGGATGCAGAAAGAAAACAAACACACCTGCCAGTTTTTAGGTAGAAAGGGCAATCTGACTCACCCTGAAATAAGAAGAATAATTAGAAAATTTTGCCTGATGATATATGATATAAATCAGATTGCTTCGAGTTTTATTTGTTTGAAGGCTTTATTAGGAATTTCAACATATGATCCCATAATATAATGTGAATGCACGTAAGACTTTTTCTTCTTAGAAGAACAGATTCCATCTAAGGCTTAGAAAAAGATCATAACATTGCATTACAACATTACAACAATTCAACATCCTGATCGGTTGATGCCAATTGTAAAACCACATGTACTCAACAACAAGAGAAGCTCACCGGTCGAATAGGTAGGCCCTTAGAATTACTCAACGTAGCAGGTGAGAATGGGACGAATGCCTTAGTGTGCTTTATATCTACGGTAGCTGCAGCAGCATTGTTTGCTGTTGATTCCTTCTTTTCAACATATCCAGTGTATTTTCCAGCTGACTGTATTTGAATGTCCTTTGGATGATGAAATTTGCAATTTGCACCAAACTTACATGTTCCGGTCTTTGCATAAAACTAAGGAAATAAAAATTTAAGCCAATACGCCAAAAAATAAAAATGCAAGAGTGAAGAAATGGATTTTAGGGAGCAAACTCACCGAACAAACAGTTTCTGATGGCCTTTCTGGTAGTATTGAACTGATAGGAATAGCTTCACTCTGCAAGTGAAAACAACTAAGATGAACAGAGTATGACATATAGATAGACAGACGAGATGATATAATGAGCAAGGGAAACTCCACCTCTGCTACAGTCACTGAAGTGCTTGATTTCACCTTAGGATGGTTAAACTTACATTTCAAGCCATATTTGCACGTTTGGGTTTTCAAAAAGTACTACATATTTAAAATATATATAAGTGCAGTTTGAACGAGAAAATGCTTAAATGCAATGAATTTTCAATGGGGAAAAAATACTCAAAAACTTACAGGACAATCAGGTTCTCCTGTTCTCTCTGGAAAGGATTCAGTTGTAGAAATAAGTGGAACCTGCGACTGTGGAATAAGTGACAATGTGGTACAATTAACATGTTATTTCTCTAACATTCGAAAACAATGTGGAAGCAGAGAATCGCAATCAAGTATTTAAACATGTATAAAAGATTATGTTAGATGAAAGAAAAAAATGACCAAAATATGCATCTTTGCTGTGTTAAAAAAAGGCCACGCTCAGCAGAACCATATCTCAAGGGGCATTTATTCCTTCTTGCCAAGATTAAGGATTTGCAATAACAATTAACAAGAATATAGGACAAATTAACATTTCCCATCATATCTCAACCCATTCCATCCCTTATTTGACCTCCTACCAGCATATCCTATATGCAAGCAAATTCCATTAAGTCCTTGATGAGTTGATGGTACACTCTCTCTCTCTCTCTCTCTCTCTCTCTCTCTCTCTCTCTCTCTCTCTCTCTCTCTCTATCTATCTATTTATCTCTATCTCTCTCTCTCTAAAATAAAAAATAAAAGATAAACTTATATAGAGATAGCGTAGGCATTTAAGCTTCTCAGTCATAAAATGGCCATATTTAAGCTTATAAATGTGTTGTTTTAAAATTTCTAAACATGCAAAGTAGCACACACGTCTGAAGTTTATAACTAAGATACATTGTAACTTCACTTATGCCATCCAACAGCAGTTTCATGGACAGGATCCAGAAGGGCACAATCCTGTATTAAAAATTGAATCCTTTTCTACCATTTGGCTAGAATCCCTACAGCCAGCTTTTGGGGTGAGAGGAAAGGGGCAGAACTCAAAGAAAATGAATGAAAAAAAAAAAAGACTTGAAAGGACATGGGCATGTAAAACATAAACTTTGGAATGGTGAAGCATTCGCTCCATTCCTACGTGCAAAAGACTCCAAGCACGTGCTTCAAACAAACAGTTTTTTATTCCCGTTTAACATGACTTTTCTTTAGTGTTCTAGTGGTAAGTTATTTTTACTTAATACCAGCTCCCCTTCATGTAGAAATACTGATCCTGTCGGTACACTGCCTTTTGTGCAGGCTTCTACTTGTTATTCAGAATTTTCAAGCACTTAACCACTGATCTTGTTAAATGGCATCCACTAAAACTTTTCTCCTTTCAATCTTTTCAACAGTAAACCTTGTTGGAACATAAATACTCCTAAAACAACTTAGATTCCTGCTTCCTCCTGTTGTTTGTAACATGCGACTTACACTTGTAGAATCGTTTCAACTTTCAACTAAGCTAAGCTCAGTAGTTTTTCCTTTCAGGTAAACATCTCATGCCTCATCTGAGATACTCTCAAATTATGATGCATAGACACGGGCACGGCAACATGGATACGACACGACACGGACATGGGACACGTAATTTATTAAAAATATAGGACATGGACACGGGTTGGACACAATATTATATTTTTTTATATTTTAAAAATAATATATACTAATTGAATAAGTATAATATTAAAAATAATTTAGAAATAATAAGTCATTTAACTACAATGTGTGCTTAAAATGATTGCTATTAGGATGTCGTACATTGCGCGTCGATGTTGTGTGTCAAGCATCGAGAGAGGAGATGACAATATTATTGATAGACAAACATCGATGTTATGGAGTAACTATCGGGCGTCAATGTCAAGAGGGCATCTGTCGTCGATGTTGAGAAGATGTTGGTCGTCAATGTTATGACTTATGAGGATGTTGGACAAAGACGAGCTATCAAGTTGTGGGTGTAGAAATTGTTAGTGTCATGCATCAATGCCAAGACAATATCAGACATCAATGCCAAGACAATGTCTGACTTTGATGTTGAGATGATTTTGACATGTCGATGTTGTAATGACGTCAAACGTCGATGTTGAGATGACACCGGACATTGTTGTGAAACCAAAGTCGCGACCCACCAAAGTGAAATGAAAATGAGAATATTCAGTGAATGAGGTATTGAGTGCGAATAGAATATAATAAATTTAGTTTTATATTTTAAATAAAAAAGAATTATAAATATAATAAATTATATTTTAAAAAATTCATAAAATAGGTTTGCCCTTTTTAATTATCTTACTTATTTTCCACCAAGACTGGGTCCTTTTCACAGAGTTTTCAGTATTTTTCTTTGATGTCATTTACCTTTGGAAGAAGAATTTTGTCAGTTTTTAGTGGAATAGGCTATGGCACTAAGTCCTTTACCATGAGGTTTGGTAGTTTTCATGATAGATGTTTCAAAGGTCGAAGCATCGAGCATTACCATAGTTTTGCCTTCTATGGCTTGTATGAGAGAAAAAAATCTCATTATGCGATGATAGTTTTTTTTCTATTCAAGATTTGAACATGAACTTAGTTAAAGTTATCATCGAGTCTTGCAAAAAACTAAAACACCATTACTATTTTTACAGATTGCATGAGAATTATCACATCATTGGAGCATATCCTTTTTAGATCTTAATAATAATTAAGCTCAAGCCAATAAACTTTCATTGCACTAAAGTACTCAATAACATGAAGTTTATCTTGTTTGGTTATTAAAATCTTAGTTTTAATCATGTAAATAAAGCAAAATTATTCACTCTTGAGTAAGTTTATTTGACAACATTCCAAACTTCTTTTGTGGTTGAGAGAAACATATATAATCCACTGATTTCACGTACCATAGTTGATACATCCTCAAAAAATTATCTTTATCGGGCACGAATCTCGATGCAAAATCAAGTTGGAAACTTCCGAAATTAAAATTGGTATCATCCGAACTCTGATTTCAGCAAACTTACAGTCGAACTAAACGTCTCAGAAATACGAACCCAACAACACCAAGTTCGACTCAATCCGAGCCTGGGTCCAAATCAAGGACCCGAAGCGTTGTTGGAAGGTTCAAACCACAATTTGGGTTACCAAACGGTTTCCAAACATGAAATGCTTATAGTCGAATCGAGCGGCTCGAGGAGACGAATCCGACGAGCCTAGGATCGCCGAATTTTGACATCATTAAGACCTTCAATTGTCTAACGAACGGTCCACAATCAAGGGATTCAACATCGGGCGTCCATCCAACCACTCCCCATTTACCCTTGATGTCTCACCTATTTACGAACTATGTCACTCCATAAATCTATAAATAGACCCCTCTTTTCTCTTAAAAGGGGATCGAAGCAAGAAGAGAAGAAGGAAGAAGAGAATGAAGAGAAGGAAGAAGCTCCTCCTCGACCACCGCCGGACTTCCGCCGGACTTCCGCCGGACCACCACTTGAGGCCCTCTCCTCCCCCAAACCACCATCTGACGCCGGTGTTCCGTCGGACCACCACTTGAGGCCCTCACCTCCGCCAGACCACCACTAGAGGCCCTCTCCTCTAACGAACCACCACCTGACGCCGGAGTTCCGTCGGATCACCATTTGAGGCCCTCACCTCTGCCGGACCACCACTGAAGGCCCTCACCTCCGCCGGACCACCGCCTGATGTTGTTGTTCCGCCAGACCACCACTTGAGGCCCTCACCTCCGCCGGAACACCACTGGAGGCCCTCACCTCCACCAACCACCGCCTGACGTTGTTGCTCTGCCAGACCACCACCTGACGTCGTTGCTCCTCCAGACCACCACTTGAGTCCCTCACCTCCGCCGGACCACCGCCTGACGTCGTTGCTCTGCCAGACCACCACTTGAGGCCCTGAGCTCCGCCGAACCACCGCTTGACATCGTTGCTCCGCCGGACCACCGGCCCTAAGCTCTGCCGGACCACCGCCTGACGTCGTTGCTCTGCCAAACCACCACTTAAGGCCCCGGACTTCCGCCGGACTTTTGCCTGAGGCCTGGATTTCCACCGGACCACCACCTGACGCCCGGACTTCTGCCAGACCACCACCTGAGACCCGGACTTCTGCCGGACCACCACCTGAGGCCTGAACTTCTATAAGGCCACCACCTGATGCCCAGAGTACCACCCTACTACAACGGTCTTTTTTGACCCCGGTCTCCTATCGACTTCGGTCCTTCTGACCTCTGTCGCCTACTATGGTCCTTCCAACCTCCATCAACAGACAACGGTCTTTCTGATCCCGGTCTCCTGCCAACTACAATCTTTCGGACCTCTATCTCCTACCGACTACAGTCCTTTCAACCTCCGTCGCCTACTATGGTCCTTCCGACCTCGATCACCAGACAACGGTATTTCTGACCTCGGTCTCCTGCCAACTACGATCTTTCGGACCTCTGTCGCCTACTATAATCCTTCCGACTTCTGTCGCCTACTATAATCCTTCCGACCTCCATCAACAGACAACGGTCTTTCTGACCCCGATCTCCTGCCGACTACGGTCTTTCGGACATCTATCTCCTACCAACTATAGTCCTTCCGACCTCCATCAACAGACAACGACCTTTCTAGTCTTGGTCTCCTGTCAACTACGGTCTTTCGGACCTCTGTCTCCTGCCTACTATGGTCCTTCCGACCTCCATCACTAGACAACGGTCTTTCTGACCCCGGTCTCTTGCCAACTATGGTCTTTCGGACTCCTGTCTCCTGCCGACTACGGTCCTTCCGACCTGCATCACCTACTATGATCCTTCCGACCTCCATCACCAGAAAACGGTCTTTCCGACCTATATCCTATCGACTATGGTCGTGCCGACCAAACAAACATGTATATATTGTAACTCCCACCATTTAATGCGCTCTATATGATGTACATTTGTATCATCAAGCCAAGGCCTTTTCCCAATGATGGGCCTCATTTGTAATCGACTACAAATACTAGTGGATTAATTCAAACTAGGCCATGCCCTGTGGTTTTTCCCCCTTTTCAGGTGTTTCCACGTAAAAACTCTGGTGTCTCTTATGAACGTTTCACCCTCTCTCTTATCTGATTGTGTGCTGGATCTTCGTACAAAGCGAAGACGTTAAACTATATATTTCTCTACTGCCGTGAATATTCCAGGATGCAACAATAGTATTCCAAAAGCATATCATGATCATGGAATTTACTTCATCCCCCAAATATTAATTTCGGGTCCTTTGGCTCAGAAGAAAGACCCATAAGAAGATGGATATTTCTTTTCTTCCACAAAACTTGTCATAATTTGGATCATTTTAAATAATTTCTCCCTTTTGACAATGAAGCTTCTAGCCCCTGGAATTCTCCTTTAGTATGATTGTTATCATTCATAATAATCAACATCTTAGAAGATAAGTCAAAGAAAACAACCATAATGGAGGGAAGGAAGAATGTCGACAATAAGGGAGAAAAAAAAACAAAAGTGGATGACTAAACCCTAACATCTCTCTGATGCCATTTTAGAAAATTAGAAAAACATTATATATATACATACATAGAATTTTAGTACTTATTATACAAAAAGTGTGAAAGTATTCATATACTTCTCAAAAATACAAATGAAAGCTATTTAAAAAAAAAGAAAAGAAAAAAGTCCAAAGAGGGGACCGCAGCTAGAATAGGAGGAAAACAATTTGCGATCTAAGAGCTATAAAAGGATCGATCCAATAGTTAGAGCCCTTTAATCCATGTGCTCAAGGATTCATATAATGATCATGGCTTATAAACCCCCTCTTTGGGTTATCTATTTGATACTATTCTCTACTTATTCTCAGCTTGAAACTCGGTATAACACAATATAAATCATCAACAGCAGCATCCAAAACAATGTAGGTAATATATTCTCAACGTAGTGGAATCTTGTTTGTACAACTAGTTCATAATTTGGCCTATACTTCTATTTCATATTGTTCATTGGTCAAACCCTTCCAGCAAAGTCAACCATGGCCAACCAAAATTACAAAAAAATGTCATTATGCCTTAGCCTTGGGTGAACCTAGGTCAAAACCAACCCCTTGACTCTAAGCTTGGATCAAACTGATCCACCAATCCTTAAAGATCAATTTGACTCATTCTTGATCCTTGGTCAAGTCCTCTTAACCATAGGTTATAAATATTTTAAATCTTAGCCCAAATTAAGTTGGTTGGCCTTTCCCCAATTGAAACAGACAGCCAAGTACAAATTTCATCATGACTTATTAACTAACATTTTATTTGTATAATTATCACAAGATGACTAAAGATAATTACCTGGCTACAATCATTTTTTTTATTACGAACGTGAAGCCCAGCAACAAAACTATCAGCATTATCATCAACAACCATGCCAGCATACGCTCAAGACATTAATTTTATTTTTCAAATATTTGTCAACTGCCATCCATATTTGGAAAGTTGATTCATCCATTCTTCTTAGTCAAGGACTTCCAAGAAAAACTAATAATTCTCACAAATAATAGAAGAATATCATATAAAGTGCAATAAGATAGAGGTATTTAAAAAAAAAAGAAGTAATGAAATAATAATTAATAAATACATCTCGATTAAGTACCCAACTCATTATATAGTGTAAAATAGCTACCAAAATTTAGAGAATTCACTAAAGATATTAGAAAGCATATATGAAAAAAATACATATCTTATGCTAGTAATCAAAGTAGTTAGAAAATTCCAGGACATAAACAAAAAAATGGTAAAAGGTCACCTCTTTCCAGTCTGGGATTCCACCTTCAGGAACCCAAACTGGATGATCAAACTTGCAGGCCTCTCCAAATTTACATGTTCTTGTCAACATATAGTGAACACAATCCTTCTCTCCAGGGCGCTGGGGATACATAGGCAGGTGGCTTGCACTTACGAGTTTAGGGCGTTTGGCCAAAGAGTATGCAGATAATAAAGCATCACTTGGCGCAATAGTGCCATTTGCCATAATACTCTGATTGTAGAGAGCTATATATCGATAGTAGAGAAAATAAAATAAGACAACAACAGCATACATGTTTGGTATATATAATATAAACTAACATTATTAAAAATAGTATATGTAATCATGCAATAACATATAATTTGTAAGTAAACATGTTGAAATATAATATATTAATTTTCTCCTACAAAATTCCCCATACTAAAACTTGACAATCAGCCTGCAAGTACTACAGCACATATTCAGAGATTATGGTCTAAGAGCTCCCCAAGATTGCATAGCTGCAAGCTAGGACAGCCGCTACTAGTACAAAGTAAATTAGATGCTACACCTCAAGAAATTAGAATAGGATTATTGACAAAAACAAGCCCATTACAGCTAAAACCATACTAGAAGTTCAATAAGATTGAATTATTATTTTCCATTTTACGCGAACAAAATATGCCTATTTACTCCTAGGAAAAAACTCACAAACTGCAAAGTTTAACTCAGTGATTAGGAATGTGACAGTAGCCCGCATAACAGCAGCCAAATACCTAAATATGAGAAAATTAGAATGTATTTGGAGCATCAAAAAGTGCTCAAATATAAGCTAACAAAAGACTTGGACTCAGGAATACAGCATAAACAAGGCTAATGTTAAAACTACGCAATGTCAAAATGCAGACTGCAAAAGAAAATCTTGTAAGTGTGACAAAGTGGCTGTGCACCTATGTATTGGTGAGTAAATGTAAGAATATGTGTATAATGAAAGTGTTAGCAGAAGATAAACACAACATCAAAGAAGAGGTAAAAAAGGGACTAAGAGATTTCCATAAATAGGAAAGCACATGGATTTTTGCCCTCTAGAATAATCACAATGAACCAACTCTCCAAGGATAATCTAGTTGAACAATATTACTAACGGAAGGATACAGCAGAGATTAACAAGTATACTGACATAAATGGAGATATGAAAAGCTTCATGTCAATAGCACTGATACAACATCATCTTTAACGATGCTATCCCCGTGGTTTTATTTTTCTTAGTGATTAAGAAACTGGACATTCTAAGTAGCACCCAAAGTGAACTTCTAACTAATTTAGGTAAATTCTGGATTTCAAACAACTTCGATGTTCTCTATACAACAACAACAACATCAAGCCTTTATCCCACTATGTGGGGTCGGCTACATGAATCCTTTTTCTCCATTGTGTCCTATTAAAAGTCAAATTCTCGTTTAAATCTAACGAAGAAAGGTCATTCTTAATATTTTCTAACCAAGTCTTTTTAGGTCTACCCCTACCTTTCTTAACATAAGTCAAATCTAATACCTCTACTCTCCTAACCGGGTCATCACAAGGCCGCCGTTTTATGTGACCAAACCATCTAAGGCGACTTTCTCTAATCTTATCTTATACTGGAGCTACTCCAACCTTTTCATGTATATGCTCATTTCGTATCCTATCTCTAAGGGTAAAACCACTCATCCACCTGAGCATCCTCATCCATTTTTTTATTGTAATTTGAATATTATAATTTTTGTTTAGTTTTATTTTTTAATACTATCCTATGATGGAAAACATCCAATGATCATGAGTAGGTAGTGCTTGGGCATGGCAAACCTTGGGTGTGCTAGCTACTTAGGTTATTTGGTCTTTGGGCTGCTGGTTGCCTCTCGGGTTGGACCTTGGCTGCTCGGGTTTGGGCTGTGTTCTTTGGGAGCTACTTGGTTCTAGCTCATAAATACTTGAGCTGATGTTTAGCTCATTTATTTGAAAAGGTATTCCTCTTGTTAGCTCATTAAGTGGAGTTGAATCTTTGCCTTTTCCCCTTCTCTGTGTCCCCTCGATTTCTTCCTAGTGTTGTTTCCCGTGGCTGGTTCTTTCTCCCTTTTTGGGTGCTGGTTGCGGTTCCATGTGCTACCCCTTCAGTTTCTCCCCTAGCTGCTTGTCCTGTGGCTGCTTTACCCGGTTTTCTGTGATGTTTTTGGGTGCTATTCTGGAATAAATTTTGGCCTTTAGTTCCCCTTACCTGATTGGTTCAGTTGGAGGTTGAATGGTTGTTTGGCTCCCCTTTTTCTCTTATAAATTGGAGATGTTTTGAAGCATAAAAGGTTGTTAAATATTTGAGCAAAGTCTCTACAAAACCTGAGGGTTTCCTCTTCCTTGGAAAAGCTTGAGAGCTTGCTCCATTTCTCTCTTCCTCCTCTCTATTTCGTCTTGAGCTTCTAACCTCTTCTTCTCTCTACAAGTTCCACTCCACTTGTATCTTTCTTCTTAAGCTATTGGAGGTGTTTGTTGGTTGATTTAGTGACATTTGTCGGAGGAGTTTTGTTGGACGTTGGACCTTGTTGTTTGGTGGACCCTTGGTTTGCAAACCCTTATGCACTTATCTTATTTTACCTATTTTTTGTTGCATGTGAGGAAACTGTTTGCCGGTTGTTCTGAGGATAGTGTTTTTTAATTTTAATTTTATTTCGTTTGTTCGGTTTTAGTTTGTTTTAGTGTTTGTTTGGATATCTGCATTCTAGTTTGAATCGAGTTTTGTTCTACTTGTCCTAGTGTTCTCCTATCATGGCTCTTTATTTCTAGCTTGCCTGCATCAAGTTTGATATCAGAGCAAGTTAGCAAATCCTATGGTGGTGTCAGTCTCTTTCTTAAGAAAACAAAAATTGCTAATAATCAAGGGGATTGGCAACAAATGATGCAACAGTTAGTAGATTTGCAAAATCAAATAAACGACATAGCTAATACTCTTGCAAACTTAAATGTCAACCATCCTAATGTTCAAACTTCTGAAAGTGAGGAGGAAGTTCCAAGGAACCAAAATAGGCGACAAAGAAATTGGGATTATGGGATTAAAATTAATGTTTATAATTTTGAAGGAAAATTACAACCCGATCAATTAATTGAATGGGTAGAAAAAATGGATCAATCTTTTGAGTAGAAAGAAATACCAGATAATATGAAGATTAAATTTGCAAGCTTAAAACTCACGAGTCATGCACTCAATCTTCAAAACAATAGATTAAGGCAAGGGAAAGAAAAAATTAAAAACTGGGAAATAATGAAAGAGAAAATGAGAGGGAAATTTCTGCCTTCAGACCACGCACGACCCATCTTTCAAGAATTTAATAACCTGCGTCAAGGTAATCAAACTGTTGAATAATACACTAAAACTTTTTACAAACTCCAATCTATAAATGACTTAGATGAATCCGAAGAAAGAACTATCACTAGGTATATCAACGGGGTCTAAAATGGACAATCCAAGATCAACTGAATTTGCACCACGTAATTAAACTCGACAATGCTTATCGAATGGCACTGAAAATTGAAAAGCAAAATCAACGAGGTCACAACAAAATAATTGAAACATATAAGTGAAGACAGATTGGCGTGGTTAAGACTCAATCTTCACAAACTTCTGTAGGAACATCGGGTGTGAGAATTAAATCATTTGAAACTCAAAATATGGATAAAGGTAAAGGAGTAATGGGCCTAAGCCTACTGAACAACTAAAACTAGATGGACCATGTTATAAATGTGGGCTTTATGGTCATCTCTCTGCGGCTTATAGAAAAAACAATCCACAAAGAAATAATTATATTGAAAATGATGAGAAAATAGAAGAAGAGGAAGAAAATGAATCTGAACCTGAAAACGAAATCGAATTGGAAAAAGTTGATGTGGAGGGCGATGAAGGTGAACAACTTTTAGTAATCCGACAAGTTTTAACAGCTAAAATGGAAAATGGGGATAGGTGACTTAGAAGAAACATTTTTAAAACCACTTGCACGGTTTAGGAAAAAATGTGCACTCTAATGATCGATAATGGGAGTTCAGGTAATTTTATTTCACAACTAATGGTCGATAAACTTAAATTGAAATCAAAACCACTTATCAAACCATACAAAATCTCTTGGTTCAAGGAAGGGGATGAGATTCCTATAACAAAACAATGCACTGTTAATTTAACAATTGGAAGTTCTTACAAAGATCAAGTTGTTTGTGATGTTGTACCTCTTGAAGTCTGTCATATTTTATTGGGTCGTCCTTGGCAATTCGATCACAAAACCATTCATAACGGGGAAAATAATACATACACTTTGATTCAAAATAATAAAGAATTCACTCTTTATCCTCAAAAACATGTTCCTGACCCGCCTGCCAAAAATATCAAAGTTGCAAAAACAAACACTCATGAACTGCTTCTTAACACAAATGAGTTGAAACAATATGAGATAGCTTACCTGGTGCTGGGAAAAGAAACTGATTCAACCTCTCAAATTCCTAAAGAAATTCAACATTTAATTGATGAGTTTTCTGATATAACACCTGAAGAGTTGTCAAAATGTTTGCCACCGATGAGAGACATTCAACATCACATTGATTTAATACCTGGAGCCACATTGTTTAATCTTTCCCATTACAGAATGAGTCCAACTGAACATGAAGAAGTTTTTAAGCAAGTGTCTGAATTGTTAGAGAAAGGTTTAACTAAAGAAAGCTTAAGTCCCTCTACTGTGTCTGCTTTGCTTACTCATAAAAAAGATGGAACCTGGATGATGTGTGTGGATAGTTGGGCTATAAATAAAATCACCATTAAGTATAGATTTCCAATTTCTAGGCTGGATGACGTTAGATATGTCACATGGTGCCAAAATATTTTCTAAAATTGACTTGAGAAGTGCGTATATCACTAGATTAGGATAAACCGGGAGAAGAACGAAAAACTACTTTTAAAACCAAGGAAGGATTGTATGAGTGACTTGTTATGCCTTTTGGGTTGTCAAATGTTCCTAGTACTTTTATGAAAACAATGAATCATGTTTTAAGACCTTTTATTAGAAAGTTTGTTGTGGTGTACTTCAATGATATTCTGATTTATAGCATTCACCCTTCTGAGCATCTTAATCATGTGAAATAAATTCTGCAAACTCTAAGATAGCAAAAGTTGTACATCAATCTAAAAAAATGTTCTTTCATGACTTCAAATTTAACATTTTTGGGATACATTGTGTGTGCCAAGGGAATAAAGGTT